GCGCGTGGCCGGGGGGATCTGGGGGTTTGCGCGTGGGATTTTGGGGGCTCTCACGGGGGGGCCAGGGGGCTGTGGTCCCCGTGGGGCCGGGGCGTTGAGGTCTGGTCTGGGGTAACCCCTCCCCCTGGCAGGTGAGATCTCCATGGAGAAGGGGGAGGGGGATTTTGGGGGCTCTCACGGGGGGGCCAGGGGGCTGTGGTCCCCGTGGGGCCGGGGCGTTGAGGTCTGGTCTGGGGTAACCCCTCCCCCTGGCAGGTGAGATCTCCATGGAGAAGGTGAAGGTGAAGCGCTATGTGTCGGGGAAGCGGCCAGACTACGCGCCCATGGAGTCCTCCGACGAGGAGGATGAGGAGTTCCAGTTCATTAAGAAGGCGAAGGAGCAGGAGTTGGAGCCAGAGGAGCAGGAGGAGGATTCAGCCAGCGACCCCCGCCTGCGGCGCTTGCAGAACCGCATTAACGAGGATGTGGAGGAGCGGTAAGCCCCTGCCCATGACAGCCCTGCTTTAGATTGTGTCTACGCTGGCAAATGAGCCACAAAGGTTTTGTTGTTCATGGGCGTTTAAAAAAACAACCCTGACTGACGAGCCTTGTTGTAGCAACCGTTAGGGTGCGTCTGCACTACGCCGCTTTTAGCAGCAAGGCTGTGTCCACACAGCCCTGTGGCTAACAGTCAGCTTGTGAGAACGCTGTTGGTACTTTTGTCAGCAAAATACTGCCACCTCCAAGGAGGTTTTGCTTTGTCAGCAGCAGGGCGCTCTTGCTGACAAAGCGGCGTTTACACTTGCATTTGCCATGGAAAAACTTTGTCGTTCATGGGGGGGCGGGGGGGAGTTAAGCATCCATGGATGACAAAAGTTTTATCAGTTGAGTGCAATTATAGATGCAGTATTAGGGTAAAAAGTGCTTTGTTGGCAGGAGTGCTCGCCAGCTGATAAAGCAAATGCTGCTCTTGGGGAGCAAAAGTATTTTATCAGCAAAGGTGACTTTTGGCAACCCAGCCACGTAAGGTAGACAAAGCTTCAGTCAGACACACCGCCCATGGTGTCCGGCCCGCCTGCCCTGATGTACACTGACAGCTGTAGATACACCTTTGTTATATTTTCAGGAGAGTTTCTCTTTGTGAAAGACCTCCCTTTGGAGATGACTCTGCCAGAGTGCTGTCCAAGGGACTGTGTAAATAAACTAAAATATGAATAAAAACATGGAAAGAAAGTTTTTTGTTGTGGTAGCTACACTTTGCATGAGTCTTTTGTGGAAATACATTTTTCAGGTGTGTAACTTTTTGGAGTGTCCCTTTTTTGTTTTCCCCACATCTTAAATTGAGGGGTCTGAGGAGGAAAAAACAGCTTTGTGCATTGGCACAAATAATTCTTTAGATGTAGATTATTGCAGTTAGTAAGCAAGTTCTGAAAGGTGTCATAAGTGGTACAGCTAGCTCTTCACAGGAAGGCAAAATCTAGAAAACAGGACAACATTCTTGTATGGAGATAGGGAGTATTATATTACTGAATCTCATTGAGAAAAACAGATAGTTGAGGTTTTATTTAACTCTTCTCTAGTCAGTAATTCATATCTATTCGGAGTAGCCAGGTCAGTTCTAGAATTGCTTCAGTCTTTAGCGTAGCCAGCGAAGAAGCAGGAGGATCCCAATGGAAGCTGTGTTTTCTGCAGTGGAAGAAACAGGAAAGTCTGTTCTGTAGCAATCCACCTACTGCTTCTACTGATGCCATGTAAACCAACCTTCTGAGAAGAATTTTACTTTTTCCAGGCTTTGCTGTGATCACTGTGACTGTAGGCCAGGCACTCACAGACTGTCCATGAGAGTTCATGCTGTAGCATCATATTCAGAAGAGCTCTGGTTGTTACAGCATGATTATATTTAGGATACTGGTGGGTCTAGCCGCGTTTTGTAGTTACTTGAACAGCTGAGATTAGCATGTGTTCAGTGTGGTGTACTGAGATGCATCTTTGCTGTGGTTCCTGGAGCCAGAACAGTGGGGTCTGGAGGGTTAGGACAAGGCCATTGTGTAGCTGGAAGCGCTGGCTTGGATGTGTGTGTGGGGACTTCAGTTTGTAGATGGGCCATGCCTATGTCACTGCTTTGTGGTAGCTGAATTGCTAACTTTGGTGTCTGTGCATAGACTGGCAAGGCACCGCAAAATTGTGGAGCCAGAAGTGGTTGGAGAAAGTGACTCAGAGGTGGAGGGAGAAGCTTGGCGTTTGGAACGGGAAGACACCAGCGAGGAGGAGGAGGAAGAGATTGACGACGAGGTATGTGCAGATCCACAAAACATGCTGCAGATGCGCTGCAAGCTCCGGTTTCCCAGGATCTCTCGGCAGAGGTTCCACAGGGTGGAGGCTGGCTCCCTGCAGCAGGAGGCAGTACGAGGTCTGTGGGCAAATGGGACTGGCTAATACACGGCCGGTCTGTCGAGAGGTTAAAGGTGGGTCTACAGGTGGCCTTGCCTTGCCTTTGGGTGTCATGGGCTGAGAGGGACGGCTCTCTCGTGATCAGTAACCGATTAAAGGATAGGAGATGGGCTGTACTGGGTTGGGTGCAGTTCAACATTTTCAAGTCCAAAGCTGATGGCAAAGCCTTACAAAGGGACCGCACGGCAAATGCTTACTCGCGCAAAGCACGGAGACTCGGAGGCATCGCCATGGGATGCTGGTAGCCAAAACTAAAGCTGGGTTTTAATCTACCCTAGAGAAATCACTTCACAGAGGACAGGGCTGTTAGCCAAGCTGGCCAGGCATGCAACCGCACGCTCTGGGTGACCCTAACCCTCCAACTGCCAGAAGGTGGGTGGGGAACCT